AATAACAAAGTTACTAATGGTGGACACTTAATTTGGATAACCCTGTATACATCTGGGGTAGATAAAATTATCAGATTGAAATTTTTTATATTTAGGAACAGCATAGGCGATGTAAACAAACATCTTTGGAGTTCAAGCTACACCTGTGGCGTAGAAATGTTGAGCTACGAAGATATAAAATTAAACAAATTTTCTATGCTACTATTTTTTTTCAAATATCTATCGCATTTTTGATATAGGTATGCAACTTCAAATAATATCTTGAGCAATTTTTGTCAGACCATTTTTTCTGAAAAAAATAGGTTTAAATACTTCAGGTAGTCATAAAACAAAATTATATGTTATACTTTGAAAGTATGCCGAAATTGGTCTGATATTGGAAAATATCGACCTATATCAAAGAAGTAATCCCATCCCAATGCAGTTTTATTTTAAGGATATCCATGGTACGTCCTTCATCCGTGTAATCAGTGCCGTATGCTACAAATGGGATATTTTAGCACCTATATTTATAAGAATTCTTTATGTTATTTGTAGATGTATTTCTGTGTCTAGAAAATTTGCTATTGTTTTTTGAATCATCCTGTATATACCAAATGGATCTTCTCGTCTGATCCATTTTGCACTTCATAAATTTAAAGCTCCACCAACTTCTTTCGAATATTTGTGAGACGTTATTGAATACTGTGTTCGCAAGGAGGTTTATTAGGTTTTTAACCCCGGGAACGGGTCCTGTTCATCTTGGAAGTAGTAGCTGTGGGAGATTGTATATTGAGGTAGTTTAAAACAAACAAGAGGAACTCCAGGAGGTATTTCCAAGGCTGGTATAATGTGAATAGATGATACGTTGTTGACAGAAAGAATGGAATCCTGTAACTATCTAAATTCAGAATCAAATTGTTGAGGGCACATGGACTATTTAGATTAAACCGATTTGCTCATTTGCTATATACCGGGTGGCGCAACGAAAACGAAACAGACGCATTTACTGGCAGCTCAGTTTTTTTTTGGAAAAACGCTCGATTTTGTTTTCGAGGGGGACACAAGTTTGGCAAAAAATCACGTTATCACGTGCAGCCCCCTGGGCGGGGGTGACACCAACCCTAAAATCTTAAATGGAAAGCGGGTCGAGTGATACCTTATTTTAAAGGTCTTTCAATTCCCTTTATAATGATATAAAATTAATGTACTTCAGTTCAGTAGTTTTGAAGACTTATTGTTTTAAAGCTTAAAGTAGACTTTAATAGGTACATCAGATTAGTTTGTACTACTTTTAGAAGAAATTTGGCTAAAAGAATTTACTTAATGCTTTTATTCACTACTACCATGGCTAGTTTATCATTTTGTTGTTGAAAATAGCTATTGGAGCGTTTTTTTGTGACAAAAAAGTTATTTCTTGAAGAAAGATAAGGAAATATCTCGTACTTATTTTAAATAGGAATTGAGTACATAGTTTGCGATTGATTTGACCAAACTTTGTTGCTAAAATAACTTGTAACGCTTTATTACATAAATTAACCATGGTATATTCCACAGCAGAAAGAGCTGAAATTATCGAAATGTTTTTCGGAAATAATCAGTGCACTAATAGAACAGCAGAAATATTTAATGAGAACAATAACGTGCTTCGAGAATATGTTCTAGAACTTGTAGCTTAATTTCTGGAAACTGGGTCAGTCGCCAATAAAAAACGTAACATTGAAAATCCCATAAGGAACGAAGCAATAGAAGTGGGGGCTTTAGGGCAAGTTTATGTAGATCCTACGTTAAGTACCCGCAAATTGGAGACTGTGTGTGGTGTTAGTCGACGTACTGCCCAACGGATTCTAAAGGCCCATAGTTTTCATCCGTATAAAAGTCACGTAGTACAAGAACTTAATGAAGACGATTTTGATCGGCGATTACAATTTTGTGAAGATATGATTGAACGAATTATAAACGATGAAGATTTTTTATTCAACGGCGTAGTAAATCGTCATAACTGCCGATATTGGTCCGATTCTAATCCCAGAATTTATCATGAGGTTCATACACAGCAGCCACAAAAATTAAATGTTTGGGCTGGTATTTTTTGCGATCAGTCAGTTGGTCCTTTTTTCTTGCCTGGACATTTGACCGGTGAAATGTATTTGGAATTACTGGAAGACGCCATAGATTCTGCATTAACAGCCATTGAAAATCAGAATGATCGGCGGTACATTGCGAATAGGTTGATGTTCCAACAGTATGGTGCCCCACTACATTACGCATTACGTGTTCGACAATATTTAGATCAGACGTTTCCAGATCGATGGATTGGTAGAAGAGGTGCCATTGAATGGCCCCCAAGATCGCCAGATTTATCACCTTTGGATTTCTATATGTGGGGTCATTTAAAAAGCAAAATCTATGCTACTCAGCCAACATCATTAGAAGACCTGCGACAAAGAATTGTGTGTGCCTTCCAATTACTCCTCAAATATTGCAAAATGTGCGTCAACGTTTTTAGCAAAATCTTTATTATTGCATGGAGAGTCATGGTGGCAGTTTTCAACATTTTCTTGCCTAACGGATCAGTTCATTCTTCATTTTTAAATTGCTTTGCTGCCAAATGTATTGATCTCCACTAATGATGATGTATTAGTTTTATTTAAGCTTTAAATCAATAAATCTTCAAAACTACTGAACTGAAGTACATTAATTTTATATCATTGTAAAGGGAATTGAAAGACCTTTATAATAAGGTATCACTCGGCCCCCCTTTCCATATAAAATTTTGGGGGTGGTGTCACCCCCGCTTGTGTCCCACTCGAAAACAAAATCGACGGGTCTGAGCGTTTTTAAAAAAAAACTGAGCTGCCAGTAAATGCGTCTGTTTCGTTTTCGATGCGCCACCCTGTATATAATCGTTGATCTTTTGATAAATGCGAATAGATCAAGAGGTTCTCTGATATACATTAAAATAGCATCACAAATAATTGATATGCCAATACTACAGATATACGAAACTCTTTAATGAGAAATTTTATTTTAATTATTAGATACTTATATTCAGTGTTTTTTTAGATCCTTCCACAGACATTCTTAATTATATAGTTTTCAAATTGTATCGCATTCTGGAGTGAAAACCCCGGTACAGTTTCTTCTGGCTCAACTTTGTCTTCGATGCAAAAATTACATAAAAATCGGACATATTGTATTTTAACAGTACTTATTCTAGAGGTTATTTCTGAAGATGATAACATACACATACTTCAAAAGGTACTAAAGGAGTTTCCAAACGAGGCATACAAGAGAGGGGAGAGGGTCAGTAAGCAACAAAGAGCAGGGAGACGAGCATATTCTCATAGGTAAAACAATCCCCTGTTCCCCCTCAGGGCGCACATGCATCCATACGCCTCGTTCTAGTACTGGTTTGCAATAGTCTGACCTATAACCGTTTTAAGTGACATGGATTGTTGCCTATGAGAAGTGATATAAGTTTGGTGCATCTTTGAACTATATTAAACGTTTCTTTGGTATGGCGCAGGCGCCTGGACACACTTTTACGATATTGCTAAATCTATTTATATATCGACAGCCATAGGTAGCTAAAAATACTGCCAAGGACAGCCACAGACATCATCGGACAACAGATTTACATCTCGATAAGATCTGAGCCAATTCAAAAAGATCCAAAACGAAGAAATAACAGTACCACACCCTTCTGCCAGTATTCCCGTCATGGCTCGCCGAGAGCAATTGCTCGAGTAATCGAGAGAGGAGTGCGACCATGTAAACAAACTGGTTTATGAACGACATAACTTGCCTCTCGGTGTCTCGAGGAGAGTGATATTCATACAAAAGTAATACCTTCATATCCTAGTGTCTGTTATATGGTTTAAGTTTTTTTGGATTCTTAGGATAAATCAACAGGTCTTAAAATATATCTTGAATCAAATCCCAGAATAGATAGATATTTATAGGTTGGTCTATCTATGACGATATCCTGATATCCTGCCATCCATCGCGATTATTGAACGTCAAGGTCCACAGAATTAAACAGCAATCGAGGCTCATCCATGCGGGATGTAACAGCAACAGGGTAGCATATAGCTTCTGCTGTTGCTATGTGTCTGGATGTACGCTTTCACCTTTGGACGTTCCCGTAGAATGACGCGTCGGGCGGTTTTCCCTTTGTCCTTCTGTTGAATCCGGACGTCCGGTACACGTTCTGGACAATTTCCATGCACCGATACTCCACGGTAAATATTACCTCCAGCTGCGGTCTATCCTCAGTAGCACGGACTGGAAAATTACTATCTGCAGCTTACATCGGTAAATATGGAGCTGATAGGGACGAAGTTCAATGTCAAACTAAAATGAAACTTCGCTTGTAGACACGGGGTTAGAGATGTGTCATATCGACTTGAAGTGTAACTTGACCGTAAACTGCGGCATTTCTTCTGTTTCCTTTCAAGTCCATAAAAAGAATCAAATGCTTTTTCCCAACAAGTGGTTATGGATTCTCTTGGATAAATAAATAGGCTACTGAGCCAATGCAATGGTTTAGTGAAAAACATTTTTCGAAGTCCGTTGACCTAAATCACAACATAAAAACTACATTTTCTTCTGTACAGTTTTTTCTAGGATTGCGTGAAATCTGCAGCTGCTCTTTGAGACTAAATAGGACTATTCCTTACTGAGATACGGCACTTCAAAGTGAACTTAGAATGTTTACTTGATTCCTGCATTTTTTCCATTAGTGTTTATTGTGAAATGATCGACCTGACACCTCGTACCCAAACATAGGACACAGGAAACGTACGTTAGATGAAGTGCATAAATGACATTTTTCTATCGGATCCAAACTGACAATCGACGGCAGTGCCAGCAACTGGTCGGTTTTTGTCACTTTGGTGTGGACGCTTGTATTTGAATACATCTTGTGCCGAGTCGAACTGTCCTCAACTTGTGGTCGGGTTTAGGTTGCAGTTGCTTAAGGTGGAAACGGTGGCTAAGAGTATTTTTTGATAACTTACCTGCAAATGGGGATACATAAAAGAAGGTCCTTGCTCTTCGTCCTGACTGAGATAATCCGCTCGAACTACTGATGGAGGACCTCGTCTGGACATTGGCATGGACAGGTGACTTTCCGTTTTGGACATTGGCCTGCTCGTGTGACCGGAAACAAAATAAGGCTTTTAGAGTACAGAAGCTTCATGGATGCTGTATCACAATATCTTTTAATTGATCACTGCTCCAGATTTATTAAGTACTTTCTACAAGTACTGGATTTTCGCTTATATCCATCAAGAATGGTGTAATCAAACTTGAGTTGGCTCGAAACATATAGTACATACGTACATGTGTGAACCGATAAGTCTGCCGATCATACCCAGAGCAATGTTACCTTGTTTCAGTTTCTCAGCTCTTTGAGAGTATTCACGCGGCCCTCTAATAATTTAGATCAGTGGTCGCCAACCTTTTCAGAGTTTTGAGCTACTTTGATAATCTGGGAATAAACAGTCGTAAGCAATGTAAGCTAACTTTAAATTATTATAACGAGTTGAATGCGATATAGGGGGAGTCCGGGAGAGTCTAGCAGGTGGGAGACAATAGCCGCTGCTCATAGAATATTTGTGGCACGAGATGTTACGACATTGCCACACTTCTCAGACGTCATAGGCACCTCCCACCCCGCTCACGTAGCGCCGTTACAATCGGCAGTTTGGTTTGGAAGTAAGAAGTGGCAACACGTTTTCGTACCTGGAAAGTGAGTTTATTCAGTTTTCGACATTTGATCTCTGTTCTTTACTGTGGATAGATTCCAGCACGCCACTTATATACACCGTAAGTGTAATTATTCTAGTCATATTTACGACAGCCAGCTTTTATTCAAGTGTCATAGCTTTTTTTTAAATTTAATAACTGGTAGTATGGCGTGGAGTGGGAGACATTACCCTGGCGTTGGGAGGAGACTTTACCCAGGGTAATCTCTCCCTCTCTGTCAGGGTCGTTTCTCCCGCAATAAATTTTATTCATTTTATTTCAGAGAATGCCCTTCAACTATAGAAAAAAACAAACAACTAGAAAGAGAAGCAATTTAGATCTGTCAGTAATAAAAAATGCTTTAGGTGACATTGATCAAGGAAAGTCTATCCGAGGTGTTGCTTTGGAATATGGAATTGACAGAAATACCTTAAGAAATTATTTAAGAGACAGGTCTAAATTGACTAAAATAAGTGAACAAGGAAGCCAGTTTAAAACATCTATGATATTTACAATCGAAGAAGAGAAGGCGCTTGTTGAATATCTTATAGCTTGCAGCAAAATGAATTATGGATTAACCAGACAGGCGACTATGCAGCTAGCATATGAATATGCAACAATGAATTCCAAAAAGGTTCCAGATTGTTGGACTTCCAACAACTGCGCAGGAAAAGATTGGTTCCGGGGATTTATGACAAGAAACCCTGAACTAAGTTTGAGAACCCCAGAAGCCACCAGTTTATCCAGATCAACCAGCTTCAATAGAAAAAACGTTACTGATTTCTTCGAGAACCTCAAAGAAGTTAGAGAAAAATACCAATTTGAAGCACATAACATCTATAACCGTGATGAAACAGGGTGTACGACTGTACAAGAGTGTCCCAAAGTAATAGCGAGCAAGCATATGCGTCAAGTAGGACAAGTTACTTCAGCTGAACGCGGCAGCCTTGTGACCGTTTGCTTCGCTGTGAACGCTCTGGGAAATGTTCTTCCTCCATTTTTCATTTTCCCTAGGGTTAGATACAACGAATGCTTTGTAGCTGGTGGGCCTCCAGGCTCACATGGTGACTCCTATCCTAGTGGATGGATGACAACCAAGAGTTTCGTAAAATTCATGGAGCATTTTGTGAAATATTCGAACGCATCTCTTAATAACCGAGTCCTGCTTATCCTCGACAACCACGAAAGTCATATCAGTGTTGAAGTCGTTAAATATGCAAAATCAAATGGAGTCACTTTGCTGACTATACCCCCCCCACTGCAGCAGAAAGCTACAGCCATTAGATGTTTCCGTCTATTCATCTTTCAAGACTAGATATAATAGAGCCATGAATAACTGGATGATCAGTAACCCAGGACGAACTGTTACGATCTACAATATACCTGGATTTGTAAACACAATCATGTCGCAGGCTTTTGGTCTATCCAATATTTTGAGTGGATTTCGATCAACTGGGATACACCCCTATAACCCGGACATCTTTACAGATGACGACTTTTTATGCTCTGCGGTAACAGATAGAGAAATGACTAGTGAACTCCAAAAGCAAGATGTTTCTTCGATTACTTCACCCTCGGTCGCTGCAAAAGTACCATCAGATTCAACCACGGTCGCATTACCTTCAACATCTACTGTACGTCAGTCAGAGCCTTCAACATCAGCATCAGTATTCACGAATGAAACTGCAGCTCCTAGAATCAATTCACCATCAATTTTGACTGCGGAAGAATCCGAGCAAGCAAATACAATACCAAGACGATCAGCAGAGATAGCTTCTACATCTAATGTTCTGGATATGACAACGGTAGATTCTGATTCCGGACACACACCAAAAATAGTTTTACCACAAACAATTCGACCATTTCCAAAAGCTACTTCTAGAAAAAGTCTTCGTCGTGGTAGACAGCCCGGAAAAACTAAAATTTTAACAAAAACGCCAGAAAAACTAGACCAAGATGATAAGTATGCACCGAAAAATAAGAAAATTAAAATAACTACGAAAAGGCAAACAGGCAAAGCAAAGAAAAATACAGTAAAAAGACAAGTTTTACAGTCAAGTGACAGTGAGACAGACCTTGACGAAGAACCCAAGTATGATGATAGTTCTGATAGTCCCTGGGATGAAGTACCAGATGTTACTGATAATTGGTTTTGTTTCATCTGTGGGGAAGACAAAGTTATGGACATGAGACTTTGTGCTGTTTGTGGCAAATATGTCCATGAAATGTGTGTTGGACTATCCAAAGACGATAAGGAGCAGTTTATTTGTCCCAATTGCTCCAATTAAAAAAAGTAAGACTGATGAAGGTTGTTATTATCTTTGCTCTTAATTTTGAGAGTTATTTTAATTTTTGTTTTACTGACAACATACAAGGTTTTTAAGTTTAAACTACTTATAAGGTTGACTTCCTGTTTCTGATGGAGAGTATGACTATTTTATAAGTAGATTTTGTTATCTTGTTATGTATTATTTTATTTTTGTTCTTAATTTTGAGAATAACTCTAATTTTTATTTTGCCGACAACGTACAAGATTCCATACCAAAAAATAATTTGTATTACCTACTTTTAAGCTTTAACTACTTATAAGGTTTGTTACCTAGTTATGTGAAAGATGGAGTAGGTGCAGGTAATACTATGTGCCATATTTTTTTAATTAAATTTATAGATTTACAATGTGTAATGATTATTTTGCCTAATCCTAAAGTGGAGGGTGAAGGCTCCCTACTCGAGGGGTCAAGTCTCCCACCCATGCGGAAGATATTAGCCGAATGTCACCTTGGCAGAAATCGTTGATAACTCATAAACTCTTAATGCTACATTAAGGTTTCTTGAGAAAAAATGTAGCTAAATAATGCGTTCTAAGATATAATTTATCGGAAATGAAGATTTGTAAGCGTGTAAAGACTTAAAAGCATTTTAGTGGAAGGTGGGTATACTCTCCCGGACTCCCCCTACATTTGTTCATTTTACTAATACTAATACATAACTACATCCATTCCTACCAATCGTAGGTTTTTGAAAAATGAACAAGATTTTCCGTCTGCTACAATGGCATGTCACATACGGTTTAACAAAATGCGTGTTCAATGACTCAGAGTATAATTTGATACGGCAGTCCGGATACAATTATCCAAATGTTCATCTGTAAGTCGATTACGGTATATGTTTTTAATAAACTTCCCATTTGGAAAAGAAGATTCACAAAAATAGGTTGAACTAAATGACGCTTTCGCTCTCAAGGCAACACGACACAAAACTGAATATTTATCTTTACTTACTGAAGGCCAGATATATTTTGTATTTGAGACTGATAATTTTAAAGCTAAATCATTTTGAAACGCAATCACTTCCATTTCTGTCGCAGCGATGTCTTCGCTAAAATTCTGCATGACAGAAGTTGCAATCTTTGAAACGATTTTTGAATTTACCCTTCAAGTTAGAGACTATTCCTTCATGATATTTACTGTCATATGGTTCTAATGGAGTTTCTGATAGAACAGGAAAACGCCTGGTATCGTCATTGATTAAGTTTTGTTCCCAAGACTCAAGCTTTTTGATAAATTTTATATCAGAAATCATTTCTGCTAGTTCTTTGTCTCTCCCAAGAAGCTGCAATTTAATTATTCTGTAATATCCACAAGAAAACCAACATCTCTAAGCCAGATGGAATTTTCCAGTTCCGGAGTCGGTTCATCGCGTTGTTTGAAAAATTGAACTATGGCAGATCTGATATCATTAAAGCGTTTTAGCACTCGTCCCCTACTAAACCATCGGACTTCAGAGTGAAGAAGTAGTTCCCCGTATTGACAGTCAATTTCATCGGCCAAGGTTATGAATAATCTTCTTTGTAACGCTTGAGCTCTAATCTTGTTCATAATTTTTACTACCAATTTCATAACGTTGTTTAGATTTAGAAAATGTCCACGTAATGCTTGCTAATGGATAATGCAATGGTAACAGAGAAATTGGGGAAAATCATCTTTACGACATAACCCCATGAGATCTTTATCATGACTCACCATAGCTGGAGCGTCATCGGCTGTCAAGCCTACCATTTTCGATATTGGAATTATCTCAGAAAAAATAGTATTTTTAAAAGAAAAGATCAAGTCCTGCCCAGTGGTCTTTTTTGTTGAATAAACTGCAAAAGATCATTAATCGTAAGATCACTAAAAATCATCCTGACGAATGCGGCTATCTGAAAGGTGTCAACGACATTTGTGAATTCATCCAGTTGCAGTGGGAAATAAGCACAGCTATTGAAGTAATTTCTTAACTGTAAAACTATATCATTGCTCATTACTTCTACTCGCCTCATCACTGTATTAACAGAAACTTGCATAGAATTTATAGCAGACACCATCTCGTCTTTATTTCTAAACGCCTGCTTTATCACTTCCCCGTCTTCATAAGGCTTCTTCTTTTGTGTAATTATCTGGGACAGCCGGTATGATGCTTCAGTTGCAGCCTTACTTTTGTCCACTGTTTTCTAAAAAATTGTTTGTTGTCCAATTAACTGATTTTTGAATTATTTCATTTTTCCGTTCTGGTTGGAGAACGCAATGGGAATGATTTTTCAAAATTCGAATGCACAGTTCTATAGTGCCTCTCGATATTCCCTTTTTTAGCAACGAAAACAGATGGATTACATAACAAACATACATTTTTAACTTCTGTAAAGAAATGTCTTCATCTTCTTACTACTGCTCCTAATGTTTTTAATTGCAGGCCAATTCTAACCCAACCGCTGGACTTTGTGCCGTTCTGTTTTAAACTGAGCGCACAGTCGCCGCGCCTTGCGTATTTATTTCGTGTAATCGCGATCGTTCTCGAACAGATCGCTCAACGCAGTGTTGCCGCTGTGTTTGTTATGAGGATTTACAAAATTTACGGAAGCTTCTATGATTGTTACACCTGTTTAAAATATGCTGTGAGCCACCAGAATTCCCTTTGCGAGCTACAGGTAGCCCGCGATGGACGGGTTGGCGACTACTGATTTAGATGACAGTTACGAAGAACTGAATGCCTTAATATATTCCTGACTGTCTGAGCAGATAATGATTCCATATTTGCTTTAGAAAATTATAAATTTTACTTGAATAAATGAACTGCGAACTACGAACTTCCTACTTTCGTCATATTGCCAACGGAAACCTAATTTTCAATATCTTTTAGTCTGTCTTAGATATTCTGTACTTGATTAAAACATTAACAGATGCGACTCAACTATCTGATCTGCAGATTTTCCCTCTTCTGTATTCCAGTAATGTTATTATCCGGTAGAGCACTTTGAGCTAACTAACTGCATTATACGTAGGAAAGTGGGTCTAATTAACTACTCCCTTTGTGTTTTAACAGCTTGAATATGCAACATGAAATATCTAATTTGCACTGTTCTGAGCTGAGTATACGTAGTACGTGTTTGTGTAACACCATAGATAAAAACAGTGTGTATGTTTCTGAAATGTAGATGATGCTAGAAGTTTAAGTCGCTGTGCTACCCTTACTTTGGTCAGATGTTATTTCAACCTATTAACATTGGGATTCTGAGCAGTATATGTGAATATCTGACAGACGAAGGTCAAACCGGTCCATTATGTATGAATAAACAGAATTTGTACCAAGAAATTGTTGATTCACATTCACCATTTTCGACAGTTATACAGATCGTTAATTAGATAGCACATTCACCATTTACAAGTACATATATGCATGGCACTTTCAACATATTTATTAGATTAATGTTCTCTGGAAAGTAGCGTTTTACGGAAAGTTTATTTAAATTTGTATAATCGATGGCATCAATTTGAAGAAAAATATCGCTCAAATATGCCCCTTCTAGGTTGTTACACATTTGTACTCGTTTCAAGGCATTTTGAATTGTCACCTGTTGCTGCATATCAACAGGTGTGATGGTAACTACGTTCTTCCTTTGCAACAAACGACAAAATTTCGCATCCTTGAAAGCTGATAAAAAAACAGAAATCGCCAATCTGGTACCATGTTTTGCAAGCAATAATTCAAAATTCCTTAACAGGAGCACAATATATATATATGCATTTTAACCGGTATTACTTTTTCAACTCAATGTCACTAGTTTCATATATTTAAGTATTTATTTTGTAAAATACAACGCATTTCTTTCATTTTCAAGATAATAGCAGCTATTTAACGTTATGACCTTTATTTTGCCCCATCTTGTATTTATTATTCGTTTTAATACCCGCTAGGGAAATCATAAAAAGTCGTGCCGGTCGACATGACTCAGACTACATATCCTATTTTGTGAATTTCTCCTTTAAAATGCTCACCTGGTTTGAAAATCGTAATCTATGTATAAATAGATAGTGATAACTTTGAATCATGTAAGGTTTTATAAGCCATCATTTGAAGTATCAAGTGTGCTTAGGGTATTAGGTTGTTTTGAATGCTTGACGTTTCGCCAACACGAGCGGTTGGCATTTTCAGAAGCACTTTAGGAGCTCTACAATCTTGAAGTCTAGGATGACACAGACTCTTCCCGTGACCGGCGTCCGTATTTATGGGTACCTCGGCAAGGGTATTATGTAAAAAACCTAAAAAACGTAAAAAAAGCGACGCAATTTCATCTTGCGGACTAGGTAGATTTCAGTGCACAAATTGTTCCGGAGAATGTTTATAATAATAGTATGTCCTGAAATGCTTTGAGATTTTATGCAATTTTTCAACCTTTGTATTGCTTACATCCCAGAAACTATCGACTTTACAGATAGGTTCTAGAGCATCTTTTTTGTTCAGAATGCCCCAAAAAACCTAGATGTAATTTGTCGAGAGTGAAAAAAATTAATTCTTGTAATTCGTTTCAAAATATATTCAAAAAATTTTTGACGCAAATTTGGTCCTGGCAACATGCAGAATCGTTAAAAGGGGCTTTTTTGAATAAGATTTGAAATATCCGAATCAGAATATTTTCCCATCAGATGCGTAGTTTGCCCGGACTATTAAGATTTTGTTGATTCATGTTTGAAGAATATTTGGAAACTATGGCAACATTGAAATTTTTGTTTTTCCATGTAGTTTTTCTATGTAAAAATAGCACATTTTGCACTTCTCAAATACTAAATCGCTTATATCTCCAAAACTATCAACTTTAGAGAAAGGAGTACTTTTATTCAAACGACCCAAAAAAGCTGCGGAGCGAAAAAACAACGTTTGAAATTTATTATAAAAATTGTTCAAACAATCTTTTAGATAATCTTACAAAACCCCGATTCAGAATATTGTTGCCAGCAAATACGAAGATACTTCCTGGGCTAAAGTAGAACGTACCCCTTTGAGATACATATATACGTCTTTCCTCACCTGTGATCAACTGGGCCATGATGATGGTCATAATGCCCAAAATCCGCCACGCTGTTTCTCCTCGGGTCCACCGAACCGTATGATCTGCCATACTCCACAGCAAGCAGATTTGCTTCCGAGATGCTCTTGTTCCGGTTCCATCCTCCAGCGTTACCATTTGTTCGTGGCGGACTTCGAATGCCATCTTGGTGCATCGCTGCTAACGGTATGCCTCCTGCTGTAGGACTGCTGGACTAGAAAATAATACTGTAAGTATTTTGATGACATATAGATGGAGGAATTGTAGTGATGTCACTGTCTATCGCAACGAACGCTAAGGTGACACGAAGCTCGTGTCAAAAATGTGTCTGATCGAATATGTTTTGAAACAACCAGATGTATTGAGATGTGGGAAAATGGATTTCAGTGTCGAATGTACGTATGATTATCGCAATGTATAACTTGCTAATTGACACCCCGACGACAATAACTAGTGAGTTAAAAATATGGCGTCAAGTAGGTACACCCTGCACTTCTTACGTAACGCCGTTATCAGTCCATAAAGGATCAAGTTCAGCACAAGTTGAACCCTCTGAGAGAAAAATAATTTACAAACATATACACTAGAAACATTAAACCGATCAAGTCAGTCAAACAGGCCCATACAATTAGTCCATAGGCATTCTTTCCCTGCCCTACAGGTAGTTACCGTTCATCTCGCAACGTTGCCCCTTTCCATATTGTCAGACGCGGCAGCGCCCACCGAAGCGCTGCTGCAGTACGAACAGAATAATCCGGGAACCCAGATAGCAGAAGAAGACTCATATCGGAAACATGTCTCTATCATTCTCAAGTTTTGACGGCAACTGTACGGGGAAACCTATGATGTGTCAAGTATGAGAAATAGGGATATTCCACACCTTATACAGTTTTGAGCGATAATATTATTCTTGTTTTTTGCCTTTATCTCCGCAACCACTAAATAAAATAAACATCTATTAGGTTCGTCTCTGATTCCAATATTAGCATGTTTATCAGAGTCCCAGTTAAAAAATACATCAATTTTGGCGGCAGCTGACTGCAACATTGACAATTATGCAATATACAATAATTAGCATTTTTTGCATATCGGATACGCCATCCTGATTTTTCCAAAATCGATACAAAATTTGTTACCAGCGACCTTTAAGGCATACAAAACTTAAATTTGAGAACAATAGAAACGTTTTTTGGATACATGTCCACCTTATTGGATCCGCCATTTTGATTTTGACAAGTAGATATCTTATTTTATATCAGCAACTTTGAAAACATGTAAATGGAGTTTTTTTGTGAAATTTAGTAAATCTTTCTAGATTTGGTCATGTTTTACGACTTTTGAGTCACTACACACACTACACATCCATAGAGACATATCAGATTTGATGGTAGCTGCTCCGTTGGTTCAAAAAAATATCGATAAATGCATCTAATAATGTAACACCACTTACACTGTGGTTTTCGTGCTCATAGAACTCAACGATTTTCTGTCTTAATGAAAGTCCATATGCATAAATTACTTTTTACTGATCATAGGTCATGATGCGATAACGGCCTCCAAATACCATCCTAAATTCTCGGACGCATTATCGAAATTTCAGAATTAACTACACTGACCGCATGAATGTCGAAAATGTTCCGTTTCCTTGACAACACTACGATAGAGCTTTTGAAAAAAGTACTTCCCCTTTCATTGTTGCTATCAATATGAAACTATCACTCTCCGTAAATCAATACTGACCGATCTCTGTTCGTATTGCCTCAAACATAATACTATAAACTTTGATACAGAACTCGTATAATACCACATCTCCTTAGTATCTTAATAGCAGTCACGTATTGCGTTCGTGATGTTCCAAGCATGAAAAAGTGGCATGAAAGTTCAAAGTTATCACGCATGTTGAATTATTTATGGCGATATTACTGTAAAGATGCAACGAAAGTTTGTGCTGCGTGAAATTACCTTTAGCTGATACAATTTATACGTAATCCATCGGCACACCACGTTTTCGTGGACAAGGTGGACGTCATTTTGAAAATTCACAATGCAGATATAACTTTTGTCACGTGCCAAAATCATGTAACCTTTGTTTTTACTATTACTTGTTCTAGTATCAGTAATTTGAATTTCTCTTTATCGATAGTAGAGTGCCCTTTTTAATGATTTTCGTTTGGCAAATTTCATAGTTAATCAATTGTGTAATTTCTCACGTATTAGATGTCATTTTCAGCGACTCAGCATTGGGTTGAAATTTTTTTGGACACTAATGTTATAGTATTATTAACGACTATCTGAGAAATTTCCTCATAAAGTGTTGTTGGACCCTCGTAGAGTAGACAACCAGCGCGCCATCTTGTGATTTTTACACGTACTAGCCTATAAAATTTGCTTTACTATCAAGATACCTTCTTTACCGGCTTTTATCTGTTCCTTTTGATTTTCTATCGAACGAGCCTTCTTCAGGGCCACTTATTTAACCTTCTGTTAGGGGGTTGCGTGCGCTGACGATCCAGCGCCATTTTCTTTCTTTCTGCTACAGTTTTGGCTACGTGCGTGCGTTTTTTTTTTTCGTTAAATTCCAGATTTTGGGATATTAACGCCCCAAACACCAGTTTATGGAGTAGTACCCTTTTATTTTGTACCTTACGTTTAGGTGTGTTGGTTTGGGTACTACCCGTCCATTTTGTAATGGGATTTTAGCCTCCAGTAGTAATTTCTCTTTTGTATACGATCGGACCACGTCCATTAATGCTTGTCCTGAAAAAGTTTGTTCAATATCTGATTCCTTTTAGTGGAAAGCTATTGCGAAGAACCACCATTCACACTCTTCCAGCTTTGTTTTGTAGCTGCCTTGCAGACGTTTCGCAGCCGATTTTGTTGGAAGCCAACACTTCCCTTTGACAAAAAAACCTGATGTGAACAGGTATAACATCATATTGATTATTGCTGTCTGCAATTCTTAGAGTGTTCTTGATTTTGTTTGACATTTTACGTATTCAAATTTAGGGTAGTGTCTACATGTCACTGTCTTTTGGGCTTACTACATTACATCAATCGTGATTTTGAATTTTGAGCTGCCATAACTTATTTTAGAAGAAGGGATAACTTTCTGAGGGTATATCACCGTGGTACATTTTTATATTTTCTTGCCCTTGCAGAAAGAAAAGTAAATTTCTGTTCAAAGAGAATGTACATGGATTTTTCTTCAAGTTTGAGTCTTTTAAATGTGTAGTTTTGTCTCGGATATACAGCAGAGAGTAGATTTTTAAACAGTATTTTTCTCTCTCTAGGGGGTTTTTTATACCGTAAACTTTGGAAACAAGGCAAGCAGCCCCAACATTGTAACGCTCCTAACGTCACTGTTCACTGCTGGCCACTGGTTTTTGACCTGAGCATTTGTAAGCTGTGGACATCACAGCTACGCTTAGAGCTGTAAATGGCAGAAGACCACTATCCAGATAAGTTTAAGTGTAGGCGTTAAAATATTTGTAAAACCTATATTTGTAAAGCCTTTGTAGGTGTACCATGGTAAACGTTTTACAGGGTTAATTATCACGGACTAGTAATTTTATTATCAGGTAGATTTGAATAATATCATTTCTTTTAACTTGAGCTCCAGTGGTGGAGCATATCTGCTGCTTGTTTTGGTAATATATTGTGATTCTTTTTTTGATATCTTGTTTTATTTGGCTCTCTGTATACAGTTAATTAGGTTTCATCATTACTGTTATATTCTTTTCTTTGTGTGGTGGTCAAGCAAAACAAGTTCCGACTAACGGTGATTTGTGACTTAATGCGTCTTGAGTCACTGGCGCTCTTAACACCCCTACTCTTCGCTTTATTGAGCTAGTGCCTAAATTTGCATGCCACTTAGATTACATTTATAGTGATTTATTAATTCATTAATTGATTTAAAAAAAAGGAAGGAGGAATCATACACCATACCCTGTTGTTTATAAGAGAAGCGTGGTACTTTTACTAAGATGAACATCACTTTGCGTCTCTATGAAATGAGGAGATGTGTGAGGCTTTCCAGGCCTGGCCTACCTTTATCTTGTACAGAGTAGAAAAGAAGGAGGCTGCATTACGAAAAGCTGTCTTTATATCCAAATAGATAATCCAGCTTTTCCTGCTAAGCATGTCTGGAGAAACATTATCTACCAATACCTATTGTACGTGTGAGTGCTTTTCATTATTTTATTTTATTGAAGTTAAAGCTGCCCGAAAGACACCACTTGTGTAGCTGCGAATCACTTATTGAATTTTGATCATTTCTTAATGATCTTTGGGATGACTTCCCTAACCTAGTTAGTCTACTTGAGTTTTCATTTCGTCTCCTACGTGCACACGTCGTAAAAGCCAGCATCCAATTATCACACATCATCACGTGTTGGTATTGCTTCCCGTCGTTAGTAGGGTGTAGAAAACCTTTGTAGCCGCCCGTACAAGGCCCCGGTGATAAAGGTCCATTAGTTACAGTAGTTCGGTAAATATAATAAGGCTAAAGGTGCCCTTTATTAGCTGAGGTCCCTCCCGGGTATCAAGAACAATAGCGGTTCATTAGTCGGGACAATTTAGTGAGCAGATAAAGGAGCCCTACCTCGTGATAAGTGGCTTGCATCCGGAAATCGGGATCGGATCTGTACTTCCGGCTGTGTTTGTAGTTCTGGGCGGTGCTGGTCTCGTTGTCTGAACTGTCATAACCGGAACTCCCATCGCGCGGACCGCGGCTTCCTGGCTTCAACACCCTGAGAACAGAAATTATTTTCATTAACTTGTTCGATAAACTCTGTTCCAGAACTCTCGTCGTTGAAGAATGCTTCTCGCAGATTTTTATATTCATTTGGGATAAGAGTGAGAATATGCAACGCGCGTGCGAATCCAGTTACCAAAAATGGCTTTGCAACGCTTCAAACTGCAGCCATACATTATAAAGAGTGGGCCAACCGTTGGTTTCTTTTTTAAATTGGTATTAAAACTATTCAATAATATGTAACACTCGATACTTCATTCAAAAGAATACACCTCTATGAAAAATAATTTCAGTTAAATGGCTGTCGCGGCTGGCCTGTCAGTAATCAGTCGTATTAACCCAATTTTGGAGCACGTTTTCGATAGTTTGTGGGTCTATTTAAGAACATCAATTGTTTGAGGATCATTAGTATAGCAGCGGTCCTCAACAGTACCCCATAGGAAGTGATCCATAGGCGTCAAATCACAGCTGCGGGCGGCCAGCCCAACGGCTGATAACGCGATGAACGAACTTAGTGTGTAAAAGATCGATTGTTCCACGGCTGGTGTGGCATGTTGCACAATCCTGCTGGAACCAGAGATTGTGCAAATGCATGTCGACTAATAGTGGCCACAAAAGCTACTCAACATATCTCTATAGCGGTCCCCGTTTACCGTCACGCTGTTGCCATCTTCATCTTGAAAAGAGCAGTGACCAATAATAATCCCACCACTTCAAACGCCACACCAAACAGTTTCTCTTTTTGGATGCATTGGTTTTTCTATGACATGTGGATTTTCAGGACCCCAAATTCTGCAGTTCTGGGTGTTAACGTAACCGCCCATATGGAAATAGGATCCGTCCGAAATGATGATTTGGCGACCAAAATTGACGTCCGTTCCCAATTGACTTAGAGCCCACACAGAGAAAGGATATCGAAGCGGATGGTCATTTTGTTTCAACTCTTGCACAAGTTGCACCTTGTAAGGAAATAATCCCAGGTCGTTATGCAATATTCTCCCCACAGCAGTGCGACTGATGCCCACATGTTGTGCTCTGTGTCGGGTTGACATTCTTGCGTTTTCACGCACACTCTGGGCAACAGCAGCAATGTTTTCGGTTGTACGTACGGGTCAAACACGGTCATACCTTCTGCTATCCACAAGCAAGCCAGTTTCATGAATAGTTTTTCAATATTTCTCACCTTTTTTCAAGATTAAAATGATCCATTGCTCACAGCGGAAGTTTGAAACAATATATTTGTCAATATGTTGAGCATGGAAGTATTACCAACTGTCAAAATAATACTAACTTAAAAAAACCAACTGATGGCCCACCCTAAAATCTAGGAGGTAAAATAATATGATTTTTTTCAGTAAAAACATTCATCGATGCAATGTTGGAGCGGTTCGGAAACTTCAATAACATTTTCTTCTCCGGTGACGTCAACTTCCACTCAACTGGACATGTAAATAAATAAACAAACTTGCAGATTCTGGAGTAGAGAAAATCCTACGTCGAAACACCAAATACCTCTGCATCCTCCAAAAGTGATTATTAGGGCGGCAATATCATCGTATGACATTATTGGCCCGTACTTTTTCGAAGGTACACTAATCTCGCACAGAAGAGAAATTCCCTAGCCTTCCCGCAGCCCCTACGGTTAGCTGATTTCTTATTATCAGGTTATACATGTCCGCAAAGTTGGGGTTTTCCTTTTCAGAAACAACTACCCTTGAAATAACAAAGGTAATGTGTAGTGAAACGAGGGCGACCAAGTAAAAAAAAATAAAGGAAAAAGTACTCACTCTCCAGTTGACGAGAAGGGCTAAGTACGTCTCTGTCCGAAATCATACCGCTCCAAGAGAAAATGAAATCAGCTGATGCGCTACCGAGCAGACGCAGAAACCACATTGATTGTCTTACACTTAATGGCACATCTTCTAACAAGGAAGGCAAAATGTTACGTAAAAAGTCTAGGTATTGCATCCCGTCCAATCGATTTGGGAGAATAAATGGTCCAATGAGCATACCGTTCACCATGCCAGCCCAAACATTCACCGAAAATGTTTGTTGAAAATATGCCCGACGGACAGCGGGCGGATTTTCTACTGACCAAACATGAGTGTTGCGAAAGTTATTCACTCCATTACGCGTGAACGTAGATTCGTCTGTCACCAATATGCACTTCAAAAAGTCCGGATTATTGTCATGTTGATGCAACAACCACTCACAAAACCGCACTCTTGCTGGAAAATCGTCAGGTTGAAGGGCTTGTACACGTTGGACGTGAAACGGGTACAGCCCCTCTTTACGCAGCGTTTGCCACACTTTAGTTCTTGATATTTGCGCTTCTCTAGCCACGTCTCTAGTGCTTGTTGAGGGATTCTCTACACGCGTGACCGTAACCGTCGGTTGAAGGTTGCATACTGACCTGACACACTGACCGCGACCCAGTTCTGTCGTCGGGTTGAGCCAGTGACCTTGTACCAGTCGGTGATGTCGCGGCTACAGGACGGTATTCAGATATTTTTAATGTTGCAGAACCCTTTATCTCGGTTCCCTTAAGACATTGGTGTATATGGTACTAAGAAAAATTGCTTATGTTTTCAAGATCTACACGTCGTGTAAAGGAAAACCCCAACTTTGCGGACACCCTGTATTTAAAGTGATGATATGCGACTTAACCAGCAAAAATACGCCAACAATACACCAACTTAAAGAGAATATTCGTCAAGAAATGCGTAACATATCCGGTACTTTGAGTCGAACTAAGAGCCTGGACGATACTATTTTCAAGACCTGATTTTCGAGTATATTTTTATTTGTTTGAATAGGCATTTAGATAAATACAATGTATATTTTTTGTCAAGTTAATTTTCAAAAGTGCAGAAATGTATTTCCCACCCGGTACAAATACAGTCTCAAATCAAAAGCCGCTCAAAGGAAGTTGTGTGCTCCTCAAAAGGTTTTATGATAAATGGCTGTTCCACAGAATTTATACTAAGGTTAATCCCGAATATGTGTCAATGCAGAGACAAAAAAGGTAAACACCCACGTATATTTATGTGATTTTAATAATTCTTGGGATATATGTACAGTGTCACTTACTAGTAAAATGATTAAATTTTCAGCTTGATTTGTCAACTGATTGAGGATCCACGATTTCTTATACACTCATTGACACGCCTGGGCATCGTGCTGATAAGGTGGTCGATATCCGGTTGGAGTATCTCATTCCAGGCTACTGCAACTTCGTGAGTAAGAGCTGCTAAAGTCTGTGGAGCGTCTTGCCAATTAAAGACTTAGGGAGGACTTAAGGATCTATTGGACCTCCTACAAACTTCTCTTATCGATAGACCGGCTTCATGCAACCCGGCAATTCGACCCCTCTCAAAGTCACTTAGCTGGGACACCTGGCGACCTCTACGCACTCTAGGCATTTTGAGCAATCACAAAAAGCTTCTCAATAAGCTACACGAAATTTAACATTCAACTGTCACCGTAAATGTACGAAAACTGAATGCTCTTTCATCACCAAGTAATACACGCAGCCACCACAAAAACTTAATAGAAAAATCTGATCATTTTATCACTTGTTGTTCATTGCAAGATAAATCGATATCTAAAAAATTCTTGAATTCTAATAAACATACGTAGGTGCTTACCTTTTTTTGTCACTCAGTATAAAAGGCTAGGTTAAAAAAATAGCGTTTCAACCCCGGCTATCCCAAACCAAACTATGTGTTTCCAAAGGACTGACTAGTTCGTAAGCAAGGTGTCCAATCTAGAAATAATTTTGTCATTTGCAGCAACTTTTGATGCTCGATTTCTTAAGCAGTGCCAATAGCTGTCCTACAAACCTTCCTGCATGGCAGTCACTGAGTCACCCTTTTAAGTATTCCATGATTTTGCTAATGACTCAGCGATGAGCCCAAACTTCACATCATGTATCTTATCTAATTCGATTCAACGTCAGGCCGGTTCAAGCATGTCAATTCCGTTTATCTGTTCAAGTTATTTTCAGCTTACAACGTAATATGCACCAAGTACACTTGATAATCTGGATTTACAGCGTTCGCGCTGGGCGTCAGTTCGAACTAACAATGCATGTCAGTCGGCGAATAAAATTGGGCTTGTGCTCAGATACATTTTCCGATTGACTGGTTCATGGATCGATTCTGTGATAAACGAGATGTTTTAGAGCGCTATTTACGTGTCGCTGACTGGACTTTGGCAAGATATCGCAATAAAACCAACGCAAGCAGGCGGGCACTAGATCAATGTTTACGCCCGAAAAAGAAGATTTTTGATGTTTTCAATCCAATTAGCAAAATACGGGTGTTTCCAAAGCAACAGGTGATTTGCCTGACACTCTTTGGGAGCTATTTGTTTGGCAGGTCGCAGTATTTGTAAGTAGACGGGGTACTTAGTGATACCCTGCGGCACTCTGTAAGTAAACTATTAGGTCCAACCCTTTTATTATTTATCTAAATGACATATTCTTACTTGACTATCAATGTGGCATAACGTCTTTAGTAGCCTGTCCTGTATTACCAGGCAGAAAGTTGGGAGTACCTGATAAATAGTAAATACATAATTATTAATTTCGAAAATACCTTTTTTCCTCTAGTCTTTAACATACAATCTTTTGCAACAAACTATGACACTAGCCAATAAAATGTTTCCATGTATTCTTCAGCACCCTCAGAATATAAAGTATTTAGGGATCCATATCGACAGTCATATTAAATTTGACTCGCAAGCACATTTTGTGAGTATTTATTCCATGTTTACTACAAAATGAAATAGTTGCATGGAGGTATATTGAAAACTCATTTGGAGCCTCTGCAATTAATTCAAAAAGCATTTTCAAGGATGATTTTAAAGAAATCTATACAATACCCAACCGCAGCCCTCTGTGAAGAAACGGATCTGTCAAATTTGAGACAGTTATTTTTTTAACAGATGTGTATATTTATATAAGAATAATTATTTATTCAGGTATCCTTCTCAAAATTATAGTACGAGGCGTGTGGAAGCAAACTATGCATTGAACTTTAAACAAACAGCGACTGGTCAAATAAGTTTAGACTATTTAGGCATCAAGTTGTTCAACTCCATACCAAAGGATATTCAAAGCTAAGCTATTCATGTCTGTTCAAGGACAAGTTAAGACAGTTATACAACAGGACGTTGTCACATTAAATAGCATTTTTATGTGAAGTTCTTAAATGTTTTATTTGTAGCATACTTGTGTATTTTTAAAGTTTGTCATTTTGCGGAGTCATCTACATAATATATGTATATATCTTGCATTCTGTTTCTGCTCATTTGTTATTCGGACTTTTTGTATTTTTATAATTTATAAAAGATTTGATGAGCAAAATGCTTATTTGCTTAATTTTAGCTTGCTCATTACTCGAATACCTTGTAATTGTGAATTATTTTACGATTTTACTGAATCTGTAAGTTAAGTATCACTTTACTATATTTTAATGTTTTCTTTTCCTTCTCCACGCACAACGCATTATTATTACCATTATCATTATCGGTATCTTTATCATTATTATTATTATTACTACTATTATCATTATTATTAATATTTTAATTATACTTTTTTTGACTATTCTTAGACAATTTTGTCCGTTGACGATTTTCAAAGTTCCGCTTTGTCCTGGAGGTACAGAACCTCGAAGGACTAGAAATCCTATGTTATGATACACCATAACTTAACAGTGATGCTAAGATTGGATCAAATATGCTGCAAGAGAACCAAAATATTGAATGGATAAGATATTCATTTAAGATTCACACACAATCCATGCCAGAAGGTTTGAGTCATCCAAAAGAAGGACAACTGTTGGAATTGTCTTCTGACGTATTGTCAAAAAATAAATACCATGAGTGAAGCTTAACATCATTCTTGTTATCAATGCAAAATGCGTATCTAGACTTAATGGAAAAATTTTTGAAATACATTTTGCCCCTTCCAACTTCATATTTATGTGAAGCTGCTTTTTCAACACTTCTAGATATTGAGGAACAACTAGGAACAGGTTATTGGACGTAGGTTGAAATTAACATACAAAGAACCAAATTATGATGATCTGATCTCATCCCAGCACAAGCAATTATTCCATGCATCGCATTGATCGAAACAAATGTTATTCATAACATAACTTTTACTTGTTTTATAATGAATGTTTCATTTTTTGATTATTGCTATTTTGTGTATGTAACAAAAAGAACTTTTATTCATGTCACTATAAATATATTTTATTTTCGTTTGTTATGAGATATAATACATACTAGAGAAAGCAAAAATGCTTAGACTGTAAAAAAAGTTTGTAGCGCATCGAATATCTGACGAATGACTTATATGTTTTTTTTAAATTGGTAGGTTTAGGTTCGAAACCATGGCGGATCCGTTGATGATATCCGCAATGTTGCCAAATCTTCGATATTTGAATTCTGCTAGAAATTCTGAATACCCTTTATTGAACATACTTTGATGTAAACCTCATAGTTTTCGAAATAGTCGCGGTCAAACATTAAAACTAAAACAATAAGAGGTATTTTTTTCACCTAAGCAATGACCTGTATCGAAAGTAATTTCCTGTCATTTCTGACATTCAAAAGCCCATTGAGTTATTGACAATAAGTATCAAAGTATGTATGTTTGATAAAAAGTATTCAGAATTTATTTCAGAATACAAATATGAAATAAAATGTATAGCATTGCATAAGAAAAACAAAAGTTGCTATCCGTTTCTGAAAAACTATAGATTTGGCAACATCGCGGATATCATCAACGGATCCGCCGTGGTTTCGAACCTAAACCTACCAATTTAAAAAAAATAGGTGAGTCTTTAGTTTGATGTGTTCCAAACTTTTGTTACAGTCTGTATGTACATATTGCAGCACCATTGTATTGTATTGTATTATTTAGAATGTAAAAGTGGCCCTAGTGGCACCTAAGCCATTTTTGAGGGATTATATTTAATTGTGAAGGAATAATTATGTATTTTATTCCTTTATTCATTTTATTCAATTTCTTGTACATATTTAATCTCGCTACTGTCTTCCTAATTTTGGCAATAGGAGAGCATCAAACGTCAGAGGGGTCTCTGATTACACTCATGTTTACACACGTCGAATTAAAAAACGAAAGGTCAACAGTTTAATACTCCCAGCTCTAAGATTTACACGGGTATTCCCAGATGACGTAACATATTTCGAAATAAAAATAAACGCTAGAAAGATAAAATTGTCCACGTACATCAACACCGCACAAGATTATTCATCCCTCAATTCAACGATTTGAAGAGGTGACGAATTTATATCCATCATGAAATGTATAAATTTTTTGCGGCTCGGTTTTAGCGATAAAATTGATTTAACATGGCATACAAATCACTTCAACTGATGAAATTCTGTCTAAACCACTCCTTTCCTTTCAGATATTCACCGTTTCTTATTATTAAGATTTAAATTGCTGAGCGAATTCAAATATTTTGCGTCATATGTGAATGCGCTTTCATAAAACGGGAATGTTATTAGCCATTCTCTGTGCATAGAGTGCCATTAGGATTTCATGGCGTTGTCCAAAATTTATTTCCATGTATTGACAAAACCCTCGAATTTTGAACTAAAATGACAGATCATAAAAGTGTTCGGATTGCAGGTTCGAAACTGGCACATTTTTACTGAATTTGCCGTCTAAAAATCCTATGGTCAATTATGTGAATCCAGAATTTTTAATTTGCCTGTATCGTCTATGTAGGGTACTTAATAACGCAAATAATATCTTTCTCAAAGCACTTCTACATTTCCTGATTCATTTATTTAGAAAAAAAAACATTTTATTCATGCATGTATGTTTAGTCAGACAATCTGCTATTGACAAAAATGAAGTGCAATTTATATTGGTTTTTCTGCCATTTACGTCTAATAAATTTCATCAATTTATCAATAATCGATCTGTAAACATTTGATGATTTAGCGCCAATATTTGTAGATGTTTGACTGATGTGAAAGTTCGATTGCTGTGACCAACATGTGTTGAGTCGTATTTGTGATATTCTGTAGAAATTCTTGTAGAAACCACTGTTTCTGCAGAAAAAAAAATATTTTTGGCCAAACTGAACTTAAGCTTCTACTTTTACAAGAGACACTAGCACGAGACATGCTAACACTACTGACATCAAACACAAACCTTGTACGCGGCCGAGCGGAAGCATTCCTGGTGAAATGTTGTGGAGTATTTGACCTATTTGAGCCATTTTGGTTGGGTGGAAACACTCTTGGAAGGCCAAACTTCAAATACGTGTACATGTTGGAGCCTAGAGCCGACCTGAAACAAAATTAAATAATTTATAGGTTAACATCACAAATATGAATGTAACATCTAAAACTTGTGCTGTAGTATGGTACGAACACGCTGTATGAAAATTGTTATTAGACAATGTTAGCGAATGCTGGGTATTGCAAGTAATATAGATCACTGGAAATGGTGCGGTAAGCAGAGGAATGACCACAACTACCTTGCAGTACCTATTGAAGAAGATTGAACAAGATAAGTTAATCATAAATAAATTAAGGTGTTTCACTGTGGGAGTAAAAACCCAAGATCACAGTTATTACAATAATGTGGTTTTGATGCTGATAAATCCCTATATTTTTCTGGCCACCAAATCAAACCACATGTGAGTGATTCTGAATCAACGTTTCGGAAACATCGGGGGTCGTTTTTTAAAATGTGCTTTATATATATTAAAAAGGTTACCGAGCTGGCCAAAACGTCAGTAAGCAGTTCCCGTTCCAACGTATTTTATCACTTGACTCCACAGAACTATGACAAGGTCAAAAAGAATCATCAAAGAATTATAAAACTATTCTTCTTAATCTTTTGGGTTCAAAATGCACACCAAAAGTTTGAAAAGTGCACTTTTATACTCGTCCAATCTTGTGGTCAATCCAATGGGTACTGAGTGGATCTACTTGATCTCATTTTACGATTAACTGAAATGCTGCAAACAGTTCATAAATAGGATAGTCTTTCAAAATCATATGATTCGCGGTTCACCATAATTAGATATATGTCCTGATATAGATAAAAAGAATATTTCAAGCCTTTCTCTCCCTTCAAACGATTATTGCGTATCTCTTTCAAAAATCAATAGAGATTCAAGTTCAGATACATCAAATTGTGAACAGACGGGGTCTTCCATAATCTTCCTGATGCTAAACCAATTTTTGCAATGCTTCTCTAAATCCTAAAGAGGAGCATACCTGTACCAACATTTTGCAGAAAAATAACGCTTGAAAAACCCCTACAACCTACAACCATCATATATTTTTAGCTTCCTATAAGAGCGAGCACAACAATAGAAGAAATCCTGCAAGCCCTCTCCTAACAATATCGAGATTCGCGGTAAGAAAAATAAATAAAGCTTTCTACACTGTGGATATTTTCCGCTACCACTTGTTTTCTCATTATTTTTGTTGCAAAGAAAAATCTACGTTCAGCATTCATCGTGCATACTTTTTATTCGTTTTAATATTCTACTACATTATCAAAGGGCTGAAAAAAAACCCACTAAATTGCGAGTACATCGCCGCAAGAGGCGATAACAGTGGCGTACGCTACAGAAAACAATCAAAATAGGAGAAAAGAAAATGCTAAGCGAAATATTTTAATAGCTAAGCTTTGTCCATTAGCAGTTGTATTTTGACTTCTAAACTATGGATTCACGGAATGAGTTACGTATATTGCTCACCGACCTAATTAACAAATTGTAAAATAAAGTTTAGCTGAAAACAAGGAATAAGGTTCCGCTACATAGCTGTGACCAAGCTGTTTATTTTCCGAAATAAACAAGCTTCGTTCCCGTATTCCTGTAATCTAATCTTTCTGATCCCCCGCCTGTTCGTCTTCAGTGGAATTTTTGTCGCCTAGAGAAAAACGAGGAGCTCTTTATTCTGGATTGGAACTTGATCATATAAAACCTCTGTAGGCTAACAAAATATCTCATCAATATAGTTATTGTATGCCTCTTGGTCTTCCTAACCACCCTGCCATTTATTATACGAGTATTCTTTCAGAGGAAGGTAGGCTTGTATCGACCTTTGGTGTGTAATTGGTTGTTTCTAACACTTAGTGTTTCATAAACTTCCTACCTCTCTATTTCCTACCATTATATTTTTCCTCTTCTCACCAGTTTTACTCTTTTTTTTATCTTGGTAGCGATCAATTTAATTTTTGGGAAGAACGGTGATCATTGCCCACTTCGTAAGTCCGTGATCTCAATAAGCTTTGGTTGACTTTTCATATATTCTGTGAAACCGATTGATTGTCTGATCGATTAGCATTTAGTCTAGTATTTCTCGTTCTACTCAGTGCTCTCTCTCCCTTTTATCCATTAGAAAGGACAACAGAGCTCAACAATCAACATCAAGAGCATGTATTCCAACATGAAATTAGCATTTTTCGCTCACGACAAGCGTTATCTGTCAACGACAACTAGGTCGCTAGATGCCACTTGTAGGCCAGTCAAATTAGGAATTTTCTATGATGAGAAATTCAAACCAATTAGTCCGAGATAAAGTTATTTGGGTTTAGGATGTCTAGAAGCATTTTCGGATTTAAATATTATCAGGCGACGCTGGTTGTATTTTGTGAAGTACTGCACAGAAATACTACCGCTGTACAGTTGATTTTGAATAGAAGATAGGTGTTTTCTCCTAGATCAGTCATGGTTTGGCCGACGTACCAGATTGGTGCAAGATCAACGTGGGTGCATGGCATGCGGAGTGATACAGTGTGCAACGCATATATAGCACCGAACAGGTTAATTAAGTACCCTAAGGATGCATCAAAACTCCGAAATGAAACTGCAATTGGTCTTCAAATAACATTCATGTTGTAATAGACTCGCCTCCAGCATAAAAGGGGCCACACTGAAAGCGGTCAATAAAACCAAGAATAAAAATTTTCACAAAACTTTATCTTGACCAACTGGTTCTGAAAGTGCTTTTAAAACAAGTTTAAATACATTTTAGGTACACGCAGTTTTAAAGTAAACTTAAAAGTGTTTATTGACTTTTAACGTTAATTTACCTTATTGGTATAAACATTATATGAAGATGATATATATGCTAACTTTTTATTACATAAAATCAACGAATTTTATATGTATCATAATTGTATACCTAGATGCATATCTGTAACTATAAAATAATAAAAAGTAGTATTATAATTAAAACAAATAAAAAACAGATTTCAAAACGTGAAAGATATCAATTAGAAAGAAAAATAATTATATATACAATTTTATTTTGTTAAGTCGGAATTACGCCCTTAATTTAATATAATTTTGCATTGTTACGTACCTCAATGTGGTTATCAAGTGCTTCCAGCGTCTGTAGGAAGCAAACAAAAAAAAAGAAGAAGGGATGTATTTAGTCTTATTGTTTCTAGATATAGTATAGTTGGTCTTTACGGTCACCAAATTCATTAAGTTTATGCCGTTCAGTTTCAATATTGCATTTAAGAAAGCAGTTTTAACGAAAGCTAAAGAAATAGACTTAAGGCTTATTATTTATTGACACAATGGTTGTAAGATCAAGTAGATCTATTAATGAGTTTTATTATATATTAATTATATTAGGAGAACTTTATAAACTGCTTAAAAACAGCCCGCAAGTTCTTCATGACACATTACATTTGATTTCAGTTAACTGCGGCTAAGCTATTTCAAAATTATAATAAAGAAAAATAAACTTTTAAGAGTATTCGATGTTATTTGATAATCTTATTACATTCTTTAAAATCAGTATTAAACGTTAAACAGTTCAAGTTTTGGCATTAAAACCATTGTCTTTTTATTTAGGTACCACAACAAAGCCGTGTTAAACCTAGAACATGTTTTTGTGGTGCTACTTGGGCGGGGCCGGAAGAAAGGGTCAAAGGTGGCCTACTTGCCAGTTGCGGCTCTTTAAGTGATTTGAAGGTTTTCGTCTTGTTTGCGCCAAAACGGATATGAAAACCTAGAAGAAAAACGCTCATGCCTTAGATGAATATTACACGATCAGTGTTTACTGTATGTGTTTGTATATCATGGAATGTAATATTTATTGACCGTGCATATATTGATTATAAGCTCACGTTGAAATCCTCTGACGCTGACGAAATGATCAGTAAGTACTGATGGTACGGACCGCAGTAAAAACTGATCGTGTGATGCCATTATTATACAAAAACGTATTTTATATTAACATTTTTTTGTATCGTTGTTGTGCCTCCAAATTCAGATTTATTTCTTATAAAGACTTTGAGAATGGATCTGCTTAATGAGACCTACTCATCGGGTGTCTGAACCTCAAATAAGCCGTAATCTTTTTGGAAACTTTAAAATTCGTCTTTTCAGTATGAGCTTCACATATATAATTCAGGAGACCTTATCTCAAAGAGAATTTTTATGAGAATTTGATACCCTTGCGTAACAGGTGGTCTGTACCACCAAGTGCACTCAAGCACGCTCCGCTACGCGCTGCCAGGGTACAACTACTCACCTCTAGCCAGCTGCGGTACAATCGCTCAGCTACATCTTGTCCTAAGGAATCCGCTCGGATGCGCTCTCCTCGGGAGAAACTGCTTACGGGCAAGGTCTTTAAGGGATGGTTATGAAAGTTTAGCTTTGTGAAACAATTCGATGTCACCGTGGAATCAAGTGATATGGGAAACTTTTGTGTAGCGTGAAGTTGTGTCCTTGACAAACAAGCCACAAATTGATTTGTCCTCCTTACAACGTTGCGCCAATCCAATCCATGGTTTGTGTTGTTTTCTGCTGTAAACTGTAATACATTCGGATAAGCCGCAGCTGAGCGGTTGTATCGCGGCTGGTCAAAGGCGGGTTGATGTATTCTGGCAGCTCTGTATTTATTTACATGTAGGTATAAAGTAAATAAATATGAAATACCATAGAAGGCAATGTCTCAGTGTACGGGTTATTACAATTTTCAGACATTGTAGGAATACATAAAAAACATTTGAAATAATACAGTCTATAATTAAAAATAATGTAGGAACATACATGACCCCTAGAAGAATAGCCCTGTGCATGAGATTAGTATCATTTAATTCAATACAGTATACAAAATAATCTCGTTTATAGAAGTACTGATTATTTGAAATGACTTGCTTATGAATTTCATTACAAAGTTGGTCATTCAACCAAATCCCCAATTTTTACTTGTCAGTATGTTGTGTACTTGTTTGATAGTCGAAGAAATGATATTATATAGCTTTGAAGCAAGATATGGATATGATCTCTGGATTGTTTTTACGGCTTA